ATGGATGGGTTCATTTTCATTTCTATACATATTTTAATGAGTTGTAGGCATTTGGCCGTAAGCATTCCGCGTGAAAAAAAAGTCTATTTATTTCTAGACTTAATCAGCAGAGAGAGGAAACTGAGCACTCACGGAAAGGACTTTCTCGCCTGGGAAGTGGGAAGATTGACTTGAACTTAGCTTAGTTGTTGTTTTTTTTTTTTTTCTAAAAAAAAAATTGCATTGTTCTGCGTGAGGCAGATGTGTCCGATCGTAGATCGGATGTTTGATGTTTGATGTTTGATGTTTGATTTAGAGCTTTCTTTCTAGATATCCATGAGTTAGGTATATTGGAGACAGCGAATTACTTCACACTATATGATGGTCTTAGCTAGAAGGAGTGTATGTGCACTGTCGTGATTGCATAAAATAGGGTTTGAGAGATCTGTCATACTTGTGGTCTTTAACTCCTATTTATAGAGCTTACCTTTGAGCTTGTACTGATTGGGCTTCTCGTAGGCATGAGCCTTTCCCAGGTCCATAACATGCATAAACATTGTATTTGAGCTTAAACCACCTCTTTTTTGTGTTTGTGAAGACAGACAGAGGCGGATCTAGCAAGGAGAGAAGGGGGTAAGTGCCCACCCTTAAATATGATTTAAAAATATAAAAAAAAAAATTTCTTAAAATTCAAGTTTTTCAAATTTAATTTTGGGGTAGGATATTATAACAACCAATTAGGGTTACTGTCAATGTTACTACCAATCAATTTCACCGTTAGATCGTTTATGCTGATACAACGATTATATTTATTTTCATCTTTGTATGGTTATGATTCTCCATATTTAATACTTTATATTTATTTTCACCCTTTGTATGGTTATGATTTCCTATATTTAATGCTTTTACATTAAATATGGGGATCATAAAGATGAAAATAAATTTAACCGTTTGATCAACATAATCGATCTAACAGTGAAATTGATTGGTAGTAACCCTAATTGGTTGTTACAATATCCTACATCTTTAATTTCCCTCTTTCTAATTTATTTTCCTGTGAGTTTTTTTTTTCTACTTCATCTTCATTATCCAAACTTAATCTAGATTTAGATCTAAACCAAACCCAGCCAGCCGGCAGCTGCTCGTAAATCGCATTCAAGTTCAGACCTTATTAAGTGCCCACCCTTTGTTATTTTTCTGGATAGAAGCATTATACTATAGACCTTGATACTAGATTTTGATGCTAGGGTAATAACAATGTTGGAGGTGGTGGCATGCCAGTAGTAATTTGTAAGGTTATTAGTGTGACAGGCAGACATAATATAGATTAAATTGTTTGGTGGTTTAATAAGGGTCAGAATGTAAATCTATAAAACAAATTGTTGCATATACGTTAACATCTATCTACCCATATTTCAAGTAAATCACTGTTCAATATCTTTAACCAAATCAGATGATAATTCAATTGGCGTCAGAAAATTAAATAAATGAGATTTAAAGCCTTAATTTCGAAACTCAACCCGAACCAGATTAGTCACAAAACAATGAACCAATTAAAATATTTCTGAAAAACAAGAGCTGGAAGTTTCTAATGCTAGAGGTATGGGAATGAAAAGGTATTGTGGAAAGCAAGAGCTGGAAGTTTTTATCTTTTATTAAATATAAATAAATATACCGTTGATTAAAGATACATTTACAACAATTTAACCCTTTAGTAGTTCAAAATAAACATAAATTTAAGGATGAAATTGATATTCAAAAACATATTAAAAAAGCTAAATTATGTTTGAAGTGGTTAGAGATCCCTTATTGCACTTGGAAATTTTCATTATAGTTTCATTGATTGTTAGGACTAAGTGCCTATAAGCAATCGAATTCATATATACTTATATTTAGTAAAATTGAATAATTATACTAAATATAATTAAAAAATAAAATTAAGTGAATACTTATATATATATATATTCTGTATACATATATAAAATATGTATAGAGGATATTTGCTAATATATGTATATCTAATGAGTAATATAATACTAAATCAATAAAAAAAAATTAAGAAATAATAGAATCAAGAGTACAAATAGAATCTGATAATCAATAATATAAGAAATTTAGAATTAAATAAACGGATTGATTTCGCTTTTTATTATTGTAAGAAGCATATGTATGATTATACAACTTTTTTTTTTATTCTTAACACTCTTTGAGCTCGAGTATTATCTTCTTACTATTTTTCTGTGTGTTTTAATTCGATTTTTGTCTCATTCTTTTTTTGTGTCTTATTTATAGCTTTTCATCTCCTTAAAAATAGAATTTTAACCAAACAAAATTTTATAAAAATTCTTATTGTAAACAGGCTTTTATCATAATAAAAAAAGAAGAAGTTAATAGGTAAAAGCTCTTAGGAGGAGATTTTTTTAAAATGTATATCAATTTTTTTTGGAGCTCTCATATTTATTTTATAATTTTACCCTTATTATAAATATGTATTTATAAATTTTATCTTTTATCCTAATAATCCATCAGATTATTTCATATTTCTCACAGCTTTATATAATCACTAAATAGCTTTTATTTTATTTTTTAAACTTTTTTTTAACTTTAAGGAAAAAAAATGTCAAACAAGCTATAAGTAAGGGGTAACGGTTTTTTTTTATTTAGTAAGTTTAATTCGGTTCAATTATTGTTAAATTTACATGGGAGGCTGCTCTTCCAATATTATTTTTTTCATTTTTAAAATTCAAACACAAAATTTTTATTAAAAGGAACAAGCACCATGTTTCTTCAACAAGTAATTATTGATAGATTAATGTCTCCATACAAAAGTATTAAGAAAGTGTTTGTATCAAAAGAGTGTGGGTATCTCTTCATTACTTTGTGCTTAAGTTATTGGTCCAAAACAATATTCATTTGAAATTTGAAAAACCAAATTCAAGTCTAATTCGAGAATAATTTTTTTATTAATCGTGTAGTGTATCTTTACTTAAAAATTAGAAATAGGCTCATGTAGGATTAAATTTTTTTTTAAAAAAAATAGATAAAATAAATGTAATTAGATGAGTCATGAGTTTCTAAAATGAATATTCAGTCCTACACAAGTACAAAAAATTTATCCGTAATTTAGAGTACAAAATTAATATTCATAAATTTAAGCATATTTTTAAAGGATTAATTTATTTATTTATATTTTTTTTGGCTAACTAGAAGTTTTTTGACTTTACTCTGCTATGGATGGTTTCATTTTCATTTCTACTTATATTATAATGAATCGCAGGCATTTGTGATTTAGCATTCCGTGTGAAAAAAGTCTTTATTTCTAGACACAATCAGCAGAGATACGAAACTACCAAGTGCCATATCAAGGAAAGGACTTTCTCGCCTGGGAAGTGGAAAGCTTGACTTAACTTGGCCTTGTCGCTTTTTTTGAAAAAAAAAAATGCATTATAATATGGGAGTTACTATAATAATGTCATGTTACTTGAGATAATACTTTTATTTGGGTGAAACAAATATATGGAGTTTACAATTTAAACAAAAAAAAAAGTTGGTACAAAATTTGATGGGTATATAATATAAGATAGTTATCTCCAATAACATAATATAAATATTTTCCTTATAATATAGACCTTGAACAAGCTTTTGATGGTGGGGGTAACAAGTAACAACAATGGTGGAGGTGGTAATACTTTAGAAGGTTATTAATGTAAAAGGCAGGCATACTATAGATTTAAGATGGATTATTAGGATAACAGAAAAAATTTATAAATACAAATTTAGAATAAAGATAAAATTATAAAATAAATATAAGAATTTCAGAAATCCGACATATATCTAAAAAAAGTTCCTCATAAATTATTATTTTTTCTTTATTATAAAAAAGCTTTTTTATAATAACAGCTTTTAGAAAATTATATTTGGTTAAATTTCTACTTTTAAGAAGAAAAGAAGTTAAAAATAAAATGTCAAATAGGCACTTACCTGGTAAGTGGTTAGTAAGGGACAGAATCTAAATCTACAAAAACAACTTGCTGCATTTACGTTTATATCTACCATTTCATGTAAATTACTGTTCAATATATTTAACCAAATGCTGGAACTTAGATTATCATACCAAAATCAATTGCTAAATGAAATCTAATTTATTCTTTTATTTTCTTAGGGACAAAGCTATCTGCAGTGATCGGTTAAGTAGCTTAGCATCTCCAAAAATGTCAAGTTGTTAGTTAAGATAGTAAATGCTTTCCGTGGATGAAAGGTTTATCTGTAGCTATCGCCCTAGGGCTTTTGCTCCATATTTTATCTCATTGTGTACACAATTTATTGTCAAGAGGATGAATATTACATGCTCCAATCTTCTCGATTGATTTGTGTTGGTATTGCTTATTAATATTACATTTATAATCCATTGATATGGTAGATGGGGCAACTTCTTCTGGTGAATACATATCACATTAATGATCTGATAGACATCTCTCAAATAGAAATCATTTCAATTCCTATTATCTCTTAAAAAGAAGTGAACTTTAGTCAAAAAGTTATTGATCTAGTCGCTATGAAGATTTTGGTCTACCCAATTAAAATTTTTGGTCTACCCAATTAAAGTTATTGATCTAGTCGCTATGAGAGTTCATTAAAATTTTATCACTTTTATTGCACAACTTTATCTCCAAAATGGATTCTCACAAGACACAGACAACCTGGGAAGATTACAAAGAATCTGGCTGTGCTCCAACAAGCTCATCATCCCCATCAAGGAGAACATTCACGACATTATTCGGTGTTTTTTTTTTACCTGCGTAACACTCCCGGATGGTTTCGTTGTAATTGAACACATTCACGACATTATTCGGTGTTTTTTTTGTTTTACCTGCGTAACACTCCCGGATGGTTTCGTTGTAATCGAAACCATATATATAGCCATAAGTCTATAGAAGAGAACAACACTCCAAATCAGATACATGTCCAGCTCATGTGTAACTCATAACCGGAGTACTTAAAACAGAATTGAGAAAAAAATAAAAGAGAAATAGTTGACAAAACTTCCTTATAAATTAAATTCAATTAAAACATCCCTCAGCAGCAAAGGAACATACTAAAACCCTATGGCTGCCTGTGAAAAACAGACTCTAACATTAAAGCAAAAACAGTACTCTCAAAAATAAAAAACTGGAATGAAAATTGACCATCGCCGATCAAGAACCCAGTTTTGAAAGCTATGGCTGCATGAAATCGGCATAAACTTGAAAATATAACTGGTAAAACAAACACCTAGGACTCTCATAGGATAAACTACTGTAACAGAACATGTAACAGAACAACTGTCTTCTGTAACCATATTTATGATTTCAAGTAGCAGCAGAAATAAGAAGATGCAATCACTTCTTCTTCTGGGCAGCCTTGGTGACTTTGGCTCCAGAGGGATCCTTCTTCTCCACACTCTTGATGACTCCAACAGCCACAGTTTGACGCATGTCCCTCACGGCAAAACGACCAAGGGGAGGATACTCAGAGAAAGTCTCAACCACCATGGGCTTGGTAGGAATCATCTTAACATAACCTGCATCTCCATTCTTCAAAAACTTGGGCTCCTTCTCAATCTCCTTACCAGATCGCCTGTCAATCTTGGTGACGAGTTCAGCAAACTTAACAGCAATGTGAGAAGTGTGGCAATCGAGCACAGGTGCATATCCATTTCCAATCTGGCCAGGATGGTTCATGATAATGACTTGGGATGTGAAGTTGGCAGCTTCCTTGGCAGGGTCATCCTTAGAGTTGGAGGCAACGAAACCACGCTTGAGATCCTTGACTGCAACATTCTTCACGTTAAATCCTACATTGTCACCTGGAAGAGCCTCTGTGAGAGCCTCGTGGTGCATCTCCACAGACTTAACTTCAGTTGTCAGTCCAGTGGGACCAAAAGTCACCACCATACCAGGCTTCAAGACACCAGTCTCAACACGTCCAACTGGCACAGTACCAATACCACCAATCTTGTAGACATCCTGCAATGGAAGCCTCAGAGGCTTGTCTGTGGGTCTCTTGGGCTCATTGATTTGGTCAAGAGCCTCAAGGAGTGTTGGGCCCTTGTACCAGTCAAGGTTGGTGGACCTCTCAATCATGTTGTCACCCTCAAAACCAGAGATGGGAACAAAGGGAATCTTGTCTGGGTTGTAACCAACCTTCTTCAAATAGGAAGATACTTCCTTCACAATTTCATCATACCTAGCCTTAGAATACTTGGGTGTGGTGGCATCCATCTGTAACAAAGATTGAAACCAAAGTCAGAAAATCTAAAACTTTGCTCAAGAAATAACAAAAAACACATCAAGTCAATTTAGACCAAGAAAACCTAGACTTATTATACCTTGTTACAGCAACAGATCATCTGCTTGACTCCAAGAGTGAAAGCAAGCAGAGCATGCTCACGCGTCTGTCCATCCTTGGAAATACCAGCTTCAAAACCACCAGTTGTGGAATCAATGATAAGGACAGCACAGTCAGCCTGGGATGTTCCTGTGATCATGTTCTTGATAAAATCACGATGTCCAGGTGCATCAATGACTGTGCAGTAGTACTTGGTGGTTTCAAACTTCCACAGAGCAATATCAATGGTAATCCCTCTCTCACGCTCAGCCTTGAGCTTGTCGAGCACCCAGGCATACTTGAATGACCTCTTGTTCATCTCAGCTGCTTCTTTCTCAAACCTCTCGATAACACGCTTGTCAATACCTCCTAGCTTGTAGATCAAGTGACCAGTAGTGGTTGACTTCCCAGAGTCGACATGTCCAATGACCACAATGTTAATGTGAACCTTCTCTTTACCCATGATGTCTTAAACTGGAATCAATTCAAAACATTTGCAAGTCAGAATTCACATTAATTCAAAATTAATAAATCACAAAAAGCAAAATAACAACGTAGAATTCACCTTAGCACATTTATAGTTAACAACAATAAATTCAAAACAGTTCAGCCAAGCAAAATTTTATCTAACAAACAGATAAATCAGATCTGCAACAACCGCATTCCCATCATAAAACACACATCATTATCCACAATGTTTTAAATTAAGCTAAAATATAAATAAACAAAAAAAAAACAATTTCAAAAATTAAATTTCAAGAACTTCACAAAATATTAAAAAAAATCTACTGAATCCAATGATGTTCACATATATCATGAAAGATTAAGCAGACTTTATACTAAAACATAACAAAAGAACAACATAAGATCAAAACCTCTAACAAGAACAGCATGTTATCAACACTCTTCCTTGAATGCTGTTTCCAAACTCAAACCCTCATAGACGTGACCCTCGAATCACAAGATACAGTACAAAGGAACAACCTTCTAATAAAAAAAAGCACAAACTAAAATCCAAGACTGAACTCCACAGATCCAGATTTACACAACAAAAACATCATAACCTCGTAACTTGTCAAAAGATGTTGCATGATTTTAACACAAAATCATCAGATCTGCGACCGCTCAAAGCCGAAACAACCAATAATAGAGTAATAGGTCACAAAACACCAACGAAAACAAAATTCTAAAAACATAGAAAACAAAACATTCGCATAACAAAATCTTAAGAAACATCATCGGACACTACGAAAAAGCAAGAGACAGAGATCGAATCGAAGAGTGTTACCTCAACGAGAAACCACGGCTGCTCTCGTTCAGAATGAGACTGAGCTATAGAGAAAGTATCAGGGAAAAAACAGGGTTTGTAGATTTTTATAGCTAGGGATTTCGTTTTTCGTTTCCGAAAATACCCTTCCTTTTCTTTTGGGTTTCCTGATATGCCCCCGCGCCTCTTTATTTGAACGTACCCGTTGTCCACTCGTTTGGGAAGGTGGGTATGATTAACGCTCTTGGCTTTCTAATTCATCTTGCGGGTTTTGCTACGCACGAGCTTTGGATTAACGAAGGCTTTGGTTTTAGTGGGCTCGAGTCCAGTTCGAAATAGGAAGGTGTTATATCCTACGTTACACCAACACCGATACGGGTAGGAGTGATAAACGAGTCAGGGGCCTTTGGTTCGGTTCGTGAATGTCTGAGCTTACATGTCTAAAATTGGTTGTTGGCACAAGGCTTGAACTTGTATAAAGCTCGTTTAATAAAAAGGTCTCAGACTCTAATTCAAAAGTTCGGCATCAGAGCCTCTCAGACCGACCTAGTACATTATTTTTATTTTTTATTTTTTTTTATACTACTTGTAATAGTTCTCTCTTTCTCCTCAATCTATTTCATCCAATTTTATTGGTTAAATAGAGTTTTTGAACGATTTTGTTCTATATTATGTTGCTTGGATATACCTTGAATTTATAAATATTTATGAAATTACTAGTATTATTGATTATATATTCTGTTTGGATAAATTTTTATTGTCTTATTTTTTTAAAACAGGCTAACAGGCTAATCCAGACTTTTATTTTTTGTAAATAAGACAGGTCACATGCAATAATTATATTTATGATAGGTAACAAGCTTGGTCAGGCTGACTCGTTTAAATACAAGCTTAGCCTTTTAAGAACAAAGTTCGGCTCGGCTCGTTAACACCCCCAGACACGGGACATGGGATACGATACAACACGATACTCCGACACGTTAATTTTAAAAAATGTTAAATTTCGACACGTTAGGACACGTTTTGATATTATATAATATTTTTAATTTATGTAGTATATATTATATTTAATATTCAATAATTTAACAAAAAAATAAAACTAAACTCATAATATCCATCAATTTTGCAAAGAAACATAAGATATCCCAAATGCTTATATTGAACTCAATAAAATAGTAATCGTGATCCAACAAAACTAATAGTTGGAACTCAAAATTCAACACAAGATAACCTTTGAACTTTTTTTGAGTCTTTGCAACGAGTATTGAAGTGTCAGAGTGTCGGTGAGTGTCAGGAAGTGTTGAACACGACACGTCAAGAATTTTGAAGTGTCGGTGTTTCATAGGTTATACCACGACATTGTGTTGGGAAAGTTACAATATATGACGACATCGTTTTTGCTCATATTCAATGGCCCAAATGTAATTAACTCGAATTCTAATATTTAATGCCCTTGTTTTAAGAATAATTAAAAATTAAAAATAATTGAATTCATTTCTTTTAATTTTAAAATATATTTTCAATTTAATCAAAGTAAATTAAAAATAAAGAAATTTTCATAATATTTATATCTATTTAATTTTTTATTATCCTTAAAAAATAAGTTTATTTTTATTTTTATTAAATATATATTATATAATTTGCACTTAATATATATTTATATTTAAATATTAAATTTAAGTTTTAATATATTTTATAAATTTATTTAAATTCATATTTATTATAGTTTAATGAATTAATTTAAACTCACATATTATATATTTTTAAAAAATTATATATTAAAATTTTTAATAATTTGGATTATATATTTTTATTTGTATTTATATTATTTTATCAAGAAATATAGGTCAAACCTTTTAAAAAAGACATATGGCTTAATTTTAAAAAAGATCTTTTAATATGTACCAAAAAAAATCTTTTAATAAGTCTAAATTATACTATTTTTAAAACGAGACATTCTAAAGGTAGACTAGGCCTTTGACTGGTCGCTGATCCATTTATTCATGTATCTCTAACTCAATTTAGCTTATGTTCAAATCAATTTATCTTGAATTTAATAAACTTTATCGTTGGATTTGGATCTAAATTATAATTAATATTGAATCTTGTTGGAAATAGACACTCACAAATTAAAAATAGATAAGGAAGACAGGTTGAACATGCAGGTCTGACACTACTATCAGACGGGTTCAGGAGGAGCCCGTGGTGGGGGACAACCACCAATTGATTAAGCTACACCACCATATCAAGTGAGTGTGACATGATATCTCAACCCAATACCTTAAGACATTGGGTTTATAAGTCCTACTTATATACATTTTACTTAGTCTATTATCAACCAATGTGTGACTTCATTACACTTGAAAATCTCAACAATCTTTCCCTCAAGTGTGAAACCCAACATTGGTATACTCCCCCTCTTAATCGAGTACCTAAGCCCAAAATACTCAACTTGCCTCCTAGCCAATCACTAGGCTAGCTCAAGCCCAACCCCGTTCTAATACCAAATATTGGAAATTGACACACAAATCGAAAACAGAAAAAAGATAAAGGGAGGAGAGATTGAACACAATGATTTACCCTGATTCACCCAATGTATGTTATATCTAGCTTTCTGTATTATATTCGTCTCACCGGCACTCGTTACAAGTCACTCAGATTACAACAGAATATAAATAGGATTTAAAAAATCCTAACAGCAGCTATTCATGGACCCAAACCCAAACTACTAAGAAAAAGAAAATATAATAAGTCAGAGGCCCACAAGAGTCGTCATCTGTATGCGAAGTATGAACCATACCCAACAAATCTCAATTCAGTAGTGTCTACAAAAGAAACAACCATAAAGAAGTGGCAAATCATTATATACAAGAGAGGTTTGAAGCCAACGAGTGTTTTGTAGACACGCAAGGGGTGACAAATCATTGTGTATACAAAAAATGGCTTGAAGCCAATGGAGATGGTGCATAGTACAATAATAGTAAGCATGCTAAGGTTTCACAAGTGTTTCATACTCAAGAGGGGGGTGAAATGAGTATTAAAAATTTTCGTAAAAGCCCCCTTCTAGTTTCTAAATAATCATTTCAAGCAAATTTTGATATATGAAAAGTTAATCAATACATTCTAACAATCCATGACATATAATATATCCCAATTATAGAATCTATGCTAGCATATACAAGATATCAAAAAAACAATTAAAGTGTTAGAAATAAAGAGTTTAGAGAATTGCAAACACAATATATCCTGGTTCAGTCACCACCACTTGTGATCTACGTCCAGACTGAAGCCACTCGATCAATTCTTTCATTATTCGTCAAGCTTCATGGGTGCTTGACAAACCACTGTAACTTCCAAGCTTTTGGGTGATTGGTAACCTTACAACCTCTAAGTTTACGGGTACTTAGAAACCTTACAATTCTCTACAAATTTACTTATGTATTTGGCTACCTCTCAAATACAATGGGTCTCACAACCCTTTCAACTCAATAATACAAGAAGGAAGTGTTTGAAAATAAATATACACTCTCAAAGGGATATACAACTTGAGGCACTATGGATATTTGGATTTTGATAATATGAGCTCAAATATGTTTGATCTTTGAAAAATATGAAAGAATATGCAAAGGATAGTGTAGAAGCTCTCAAAGTATGCTTAAGATATGTTGTAATGGTGCCCAATTGGTTATGGAGTCGTTGGGAATGTATATATAGTGATTTCCCCAAAAACTAGCCATTTATAGCCGCTATAGGTATTCTGCCGCAATGGTAATTGATTACCAAAGGGAAGGTAATTGATTACCTCAAAGGGTAATCGACTACCAACATTTGGTGATTGATTCCCGACGTGACAACAAGAATATTGTTTCATATTTTGAATATAACTTGAGCTATATTTGTTGGATTGATGTGATGTTGATCTTGTTAGAAAGCTAAATGAAAGATCTACAACTTTTACGAAGAACACAAGATCCAAATCCATCATATGCAATATGAAAAATTGTCTAGAAGATAGAAACCAAATTATGCAGCAAGACAAAAATAATGTTTCGTATTGTTGGCATAACTTGAGTTATTCTTATCAGATTGATATGATTTTATTCTAAACCAAGTAAACTCGACCAAATATCAAGTGGTATTAAGAAGTTTTGACATACATAGCTGTAAAGTTAGTCCATAACAATTATATATATATATATATATATATATATATGTGTGTATATGTATATAAAAGTTGTATGGTTGTATGCCTCAATAAATAATAAGCTGATAATTAAACTACTTGGCCTTGCACCACATATAAATATCTGATATTTAAATTGCGTGGCCTTATGCCAATCTCATATACAAGCTGATATTGAAATTGTATAGCCTTGGCCACTCTAATATAATGCTAAATGTGCGTTTTCCTCACTAGTTGACTTGTGCATAAATTGAGCTTAAGATAAGTGAGGCGTCCCTTACTGTGTCAACTAAACTGTTATACTAGTCATCTAAAGCTACTCTACGGACTCTTAGGCACCCCCTTATGCTACTATATTTGTTTCTGCATATAGCAGTTACTCGTATATCACGACTAATAATAATAACCTAAATTGTATCTATCTTATAATAATAACATAAGCTATGCCGATCATTCTTCTCGTAAACATGTATAATCTATTAATCTCTCGTATAATCTGCAGTTATGATATTCTAACAATAATAAAATGAATTACCATTGATGTTACCTGATTAAAATAAGAAAACCAGATTTTTACAGAGGTGGAACTAAACTGTTATATTAGTCGTCTAAAGCTACTATGCGGACTCTTAGCCCCCCTTATGCTACTATATATGTTTCTGCATATAGCAGTTGCCCATATATAACGGATGAAATAATAACATAAACTGTATCAATGATATAATAATAACATAAGCTATATCAATCATTCTTCTTATAAACATGTATAATCTGTTAATCTCTCATATAATCTAAAGTCATGTTATTGTAATTATAATAAAATTAATTACCATTAACGTTACTTGATGAAAATGAGAACAACATAGTTTTACAGGGGTGGTAATCAAT